ATAGGCAGGGCTGGCCTCTGGGTCACAATGCAGTATGACATCTGCTAAAGGAGGAGGAGTGGGAGGGGAAAAACCTCCCACCACAGTGTAGCTATGGGAAATTCTCAGCCAGCCAATAGGGGAGCTCAGACCCCAAGACCACCCAGAGAGGACTCCCACATGGGGTAGAAACAGCCAGGCCCCAAATCACATCATGCTCAGCTCTTGGCCAGGAGCTTTCCAGGGACAGAGTGACCTTGACTAAAATACTGCCCCAGATTTGATGACCTTGTACAAAGCTGGTGGCCAACAGCTGCTGTCCTTGGAGAAGTTTCTCTAGAGGAAGATCTAAGCCACATTCACCCTTTACCCTCAGCAAAAGTTCTCCTACAGGTTTGGAAAACAGCTGTTTCATGGCTTCCTTAGGACTTCTTAGGACTTCTTCCTTAGGACTCTTCCTTCTCCTGAGGGGAAACTTACAAAGGAACAGTTAGAGCAACAAACTATAGCCCTCACCGTTGCAGTTCATACGGGGGCTGCAAGTGATACTCATTTTCTGTTCCCTCCACCATTTATTCTGAATTCACTTCATTGTCACCCTCACCTAACACCTCTCCTGGGCTCAATGGCTTACTTGGTGAGCCTAGTCCATCCCATGAGACATCTGAACCCCTGGTAACCAAACCCTTCTTGGGCCAGGGTTGCTGCATGGGACTGCATTTCAAAATCACGATTGGGCAAGGGAATACCAAAAGGGGTTCCACACATTTTTCGTTCTGCCCCATAACGTGGCAGCAGCCCTGCCACCTCCTGCTGATCCAGGTGTAAGACCTGTTCCACAATGGAGACGTGTCTTCTGGCCTACTGGCTACTACAAAGGGAGTTCAAATTACCCAGGAAGCAGTTATGGCTTGTTGCTCAATGGAACCCTTCCTGTGTCTTCTAGAAAGAGTGTGCCTCCTTTGGAGAACAGAATCTCTAACCCTGTAGAGCCCAGAATCACAGGAACAGAAAATACAAATTCCTCCATAATAACCACTGGGCCATTGGTTGTTGGATGACTTCATTACTCATGGCAAGTTCTCTCTTTAAGGAAGATCTCAGTGGCCTATACTACAGCTGCTGTACCAGTATTTGGTCTCCTACCTTCAGACGATTATGTATCCCCACATATTGTTATGTAACTTGCAGTGTTTTCCTATTGAAGGAGAATCTATCCCCACCCCTTTGACATCAAGCTTGGTCATGAGACTGGTTTTAGCCAATGGAATGTGAATGAAAAATTTGATGTCATGTCTGAGCAGAAGCTTTAAGAGACACCACGTGGTTCAGTGAGTCCTTTCCTCTCTGCCACAAGAACATATCCCAGTAAGGGCTAGATCTTAGAATGGAGAAGATCCATAGAGAAGAGTTCTACACAGCTCATACACAACCAACCCAATTAATGCATGCAAGAAACTAACCTTTTTTGTTGTAAACCACTAAGAATCAGAGGTTATTTGTTACTGCAGGATAACCTAACAAGATATGAGTAATAAATTGTACATTTTTTTTATCTGTGATACTGTGCTGGTCTCTGGCAAGTTTCCTTTGTCCCACTTTCTGATTTTTGTGTCTCCCTGGCTGTTTCTAACTAACAGATGTCTGCTCATTAACACCTCTAACTGTTGTTCTTCATGTTTCTGAGAGGTCTGGATTGGCTACATCAGAAGCATCTGGATATAGTCTTTAAAAACACACAACTCATTGGCTGCACGTACAGAGGTTGTGACTCAAAAGATGTGATTCAGTAGTTGTCTTTATTTAGTATGGGTTCTAGAATCTGCATATTTTTAAACGTCCACATGTTTCAATAAATTCAGGAATTAGTTGTATGCTATGGTCCAAACTTTTCAATTTGCTGTAAGCTAATCATCTTTATTGGTCTCTTGAACTTAGATATACGATAACCTTTATTTCTTACCCTTAACCTTGCGTTGGACAATGGCCTTTGTATCCAGATTATTTTAGTGCCATTCCTTTATCCTTCATTCACAGCCTGGTCAAATTAAACCAGCAACTCAGACCTACTATTGTTTGAAGTATGCATTGAATTTCTCTTTGAAAGAAGTGTGTGTGTGTGTGTGTGTGTGTGTGTGTGTGTCCATACATGGACATGTATGAACAGAAGCATTCAGAGTTAAAGGAAATTGTTTTCTGCTGAAAAAAAATGTAATTTTGAAATGAAACAGTAGAGCTAATTATCTGTCTGGAAAAAGGCGCAGGCTCGATTTAGGTCAAAAGTAACAGAGAAATTGCTGATACAATTATTCCTAGTAACTCTCTCATAAATGCCTACTCGCATTAACACATGCATAAATCCCCTCACGTGACTATGTTACTTGGAATGAGAATAAATCCTTAAAGCACTCTTTGTTCAGTGATATGACAACAGAAATAAGGAAAATGATTGAAGGCAAAGTTACATGAAATCAAACACCTGTGACAAAAATGAGGGCCACCGTCATCACAAATCAAAGATATACCTTCCTATTCCATCACACCCATCCCCCCACCTCCACCACTCTTAGTCTGTCTTAAATTCTTAATGATTCTTCATAAACCATGCCATTTGAGTAAGCTTCGTTTATTTATTTATTTTTTTTGATTGATGTGCTTGAAGAAAGCACAGAAAGTAAACTGCTTAGAAACACTGCACAGGCTTAGGATGCTTACTACTGTGATGTGAAAAGCTCCACCCAGGCAAGCCTTTGCTTTCATTCATGTTTCTGGATATCTCTGCCCTGGTTAGTGCCCTGAGTTTCCAGGTATCTTTATGTTGTTTCGCAAAGATGGGATATGCAGTGTCTGAATGTCAACTCAAAATATTCAGAAAAAAAGTAATAAATGTAAAAAAATACTTTTGACTGAGGGACAAGTTGTCGACGGAATTAATGCCAGAATCAGTCTCATGTTCTTGTTGAATGCTTTCTGGCTCTATCCACTGTGGTCACATAATTGTCCTAAGTCCTCAACTGAAGAGGGAAAGGACAAAAAAACATTCCTTATTGTTCCTGCTGGGATGTCAAATTTGTGACCAACGTTATAATGCTATAAAAGATATGGCACAGAGAATTACGAAACCTTACCTTGAATTTCATTGTTATAAAGGCAAGCCAGCCAAAATTAAGGTTAAAAAAAAAGTTTAAATAAACATGTCTGGAAAGTTAGATTAAACAGTCTCCCAAAATTCATATACTGAAAGATACATTTTTATCATTCATATCAAAGAAAACCTGTGGGATATTTCTAACAATGTTTCTTCTATTGATGAATGAACATAAATGGGGAAAACTCTGGAAAAATCTCTTTTAAAAATTCTCATTGACATGTCCTTTTTCTTCAGAAAAGAGTCACCATTAATAACATAGAAAAAGGCCCAAGAGTCATTTCCTATATGATCCATTGAGTTTCAAAACTGAGATTTCTTCCATTTTAAAACATCTGTTCAAACTTTCCTACATAAAACTTAAGAACCTTACATTTAAGAATTTTACGTATTCAGGGGTGCCTGAGTGGCTCAGCTGGTTAAGCCTCTGACTCTTGATTTCGGCTCAGGTCATGATTTCAGCTCAGGTCATGAACTCATGGTTGGTGACATCGAGCCCTGGACCATGCTCTGTGCTGACCGCAGGGAGTCTGCATGGGATTCTCTCTCTCCCCTTCCTTCTGCCCCTCCCCTGCTCATGCTCTCTCTCTCAAAAATAAATAAATAAACATGGGGTGCCTGGGTGGCTCAGTCAGTGAAGCGTCCGACTTCGGCTCAGGTCATGATCTCGCAGTTCGTGGGTTCGAGCCCCGCGTCGGGCTCTGTGCTGACAGCTCAGAGCCTGGAGCCTGCTTTGGATGCTGTGTCTCCCTCTTTCTCTGCCCCTCCCCTGCTCATGCTCTGTCTCTCTCTGTCTCTCAATAATAAATAAAGATTTAAAAAATTAAAAAAAATAAACATTTAAAAACTGTGTCTCTTAGTGAGGTATTTAGAAGTATCCCAATATCGCATGATATTTTAACTGCATCTCTTTAATTATCATTACCCTATTTTATTCTGTGAGGCAAGCTTATCAGTAGAACTAAGTTTCTAGTACAACTGAAGGTTTCTGGAGAACGAACAGAGGTTGGCAATTCTTTTCTCCATCCCTGCCTCCCTCCCTCTTTTCCTTCCTTCCTTCCTTCCCCTCCTGTTCCCTTCCTGTCTCCCTTTCTCCTTCCTCTCTCTCTCTCTCCATCCCATATTTGGTAATGGTACCCCTTTTGTTGCTGTTTGCTTTGTTTTCCCCACGATGCCAATCAGGTCAAAGTAGAGATGATTTTGGTGAAGGGGAGATCTCGGGTGCTGTCCATCTGACCTCAGTCATGTGTCAAAAGACAGTCTGTGAGTCACTGTCAGGGACTTGTTGTTGGCTTTTTCATCCACCACCAAGATTTCCTTCAAGAAAAACAATTGCCCCTTAAATGCACTATGCGGCATTTTCTTTTCCTCTAGAATACTATTTTGAGGGGTGCCTGGGTGGCGCAGTCGGTTAAGCGTCCGACTTCAGCCAGGTCACGATCTCGCGGTCCGTGAGTTCAAGCCCCGCGTCGGGCTCTGGGCTGATGGCTCAGAGCCTGGAGCCTGTTTCTGATTCTGTGTCTCCCTCTCTCTCTGCCCCTCCCCCGTTCATGCTCTGTCTCTCTCTGTCCCAAAAATAAATAAACGTTGAAAAAAAAAAAATTTTTTTTAGAATACTATTTTGAGAACATCAGGAGGCCTGGGTGCTAGGATGGCTCGCAATAAGTGTCAGGGTTTCTGGTTACAAACACGTTATACCTGCTTTCCCATCACACTTCAGGCCCAAGTGTGACGTTTGTGCCAGTGGACACGTGTCTTCCGCAGTCTAGCGTTGCAATGTGCGCTCGGCCGCTCGATAGACGCGCGCGCGTCCGTGACCTTGCCCTCCCGGCTCCCTTCACCTTCACGGATTTGGCTCTGCTTTCTTTTACAGCATAGGTGGCGAAGTGGGGCGGGGCCACGAAGGCACTTACGCGGGCAAACATTTCCGCATGGGATTCATGACGATGCCCGCTCCTCAGGACAGACTTCCCCATCCCTGCTCCAGCGGCTTTTCCGTGAGGTCCCAGTCCCTGCACTCGGTCGGGGGCACCGAGGACGACAGCAGCTGTGGCTCCCGCAGGCAGCCGCCCCCCAAGCCCAAGCGGGACCCCAGCACCAAGCTGAGCACGTCGTCCGAGACGGTCAACAGCACGGCGCCCGGCAAGAGCGGCAAGGCCGCCGAGCGGCCCGAAGGTAACACCTGGGCCCACTCCCCTGGGGACAGGCCAGGACGCGTCCGGGCAGCATGCAGACGAGCATGTGCCTGCCCATCCCCCCCCCCCATCCCCCCCACCCCGGCTCTCCCAGTCCTGCTCCCGTGTCCCTGAAGTCCCAGAAAGGAGGCATGGAGACCAGGAGGCCACTTAGTAAGGTGTTGACAAGTGACACCCGGCAAGATGTATTTATGTTATTCCAAAGGGAAGGGGTGTGAGTGTGTGTTTTATTGTCCCCTAAAGCCTCGCATCATTAGGAACTTGTTTTGCCTGGAAGATACCTAAAGTTTGTATGTTCTTGCTTTGATTAGTATTCCTCGTATAATTATAGAAGTATGATGTGATTATTAGGGGAACATTGTAAGGCAGAAAAATACACAGAGGGCAAATTGTAACCCTTCTTAGAAATAATGATTTTGGAGGCGCTGGGGTGGCTCAGTCTGTTGAGCTTCTGCCTCTCGATTTCGGCTCAGGTCCCGATCCCAGGACGCAGCCCGCATGGGGCCCGCTCAAGATTCTCTCTTTTCCTCTGTTTCCCTTCCCCGCTTGAGCGCCCTCTCTCTCACGCTCAAATAACTTAAGACAAAGAAGAAGAAATAATGATTTTGTACATTTTGACATACTGCCTTCCAGTGAATATGAATTTATGCACGCACATGTGTTTGTAGGAAACACACACACACACATGCTGTGTATATATTTCAGTGTCTGCTTCTATCTTTACCTCTAAAGTCTACCTAAGCCTCTGTTTTTCCTCGGCTGTGAAATGCACAAATCTCCCTCCGCCTCCTTGCTGGTCTGTGAGTATGAATTAGGTCAGGTTAACCACAGATCTCACCAGATCTTTAGTAAGTTTCCGCCTTCCTGAGTTTTTCCTGAGAGTCGGCTGGAGGCAGAGCAGTCTCCAGTGCGCGTGGATACAAGCCCATCCAGAGTGTTGTGCGTAGTTCTGGAAAAGGCTTCCAGGTTCCCAGGGCCGCCCATGACCAAATTGAGAGCATGGCTCTGCCGGGCCCCTTAGTGTTTCTCTCGCCTGGTTTGTCCTTGACATTCTCCACAGCAGGCTTCCCCGGCCCCCAGGGTACCAAGTTCTGCAGTGGTTTGCAGCTGCCGATAAAAGCCGGGTGGCCTTCTCCTCAACTGGGAAGGTATCTTTTGTCACATGGGCTCCCCAGTCCTTCACGAATGTTCCCTCACCTTCTGGTCTACCTCCTTCCACAGACGCTCAAGTTTAGCCCATGAGATGGGGCGTCCGTGAGGCACGTCACACCCCCTCCGTCCCTCTCTTCTCCTTTCCCACCCATTGGTGTCCAAGTGCCTATTTGGCCAAAAACAAAAGCTTCAGTGCATACTGAAGAGTGCAAATCAATGCCCAGAGGTGGAGCTCATCCACGCACTCTACAAGGAAAATCCGCCTTTGGGCTCGGTGTTTCCTACTACACGTATGTGCAAAAGCATGACTATGTGCATGTGTCTGAGAGAACCTGGGTGAATGACATGTACGTGAATGCAGATTTACGAAGTTGAAATCATGATGCGTACAGTTTTGTGCTTGATTGTTCACTTATTCTCCTGTGACTATTTTCCATGGCGTTCAGTTTAAGAAACACCATTTCGAGGAAGAGAGGTGTACGTCACAGTACTTTATTTAATCATTCCCCTTGAGAAATGCTTAGGCCGGTCCAGCTTGTTTTGCTGTAATGAATGCCACTGACATGTGACTGCACGTGCTGGTGTGGGTCTGTTCGTGCAACTCTCTTCCTTGTTCCTCTGCTGTCTTAAGAGGAGATTAGAAAGTAGACCCCTCTTTCTCCTGATCCAAGGGCATTGGTATGTCCTTCAGCTTGTAACACACTGATGCGTATAGAAACTAGTCAGGTGTTTCATTTACTTGTTAATTAACACGCTGAAGGGCCCTGGAGATCTGCTTTGGTTAAGTTTTAAATCTTGTGCTTAGGTTTTCTCCGATGTTGATACGCAGTGTCTTTCATTTCTCTTTATTTTCCGTGATCTTATTTCCATAACTCACCCGTCTCCCACCTCTCATGCCAAAACGCTACGTAGTCAACGATGCTAGATTGTTTATAAAAGTAGTTTACTGATTTAGAGCGGCGATATCTGAGTGTTGAGGCTCATCTAGAAATATTGAGGAATCAAAGGGAATAAAAAAAGAACCTCCTGAAGGGGAGGGGAAAGATGAAACAGAGGAAGAAAGTAGTCAGTCAGGAGGGCGTGATCAAGCCGTGAACTGTTGCTGGTAACAACCCTGGAAGCAGTGTGAAATGCATGCCTCAGCATAGCCACCCCCACCCCCCCTCCCCAGCTCAGGAGAGGGTGACCTTGAGTCTTGAGAGCGAATGCATGTAGAAATAAATGATGGTTGTCCCACAGAAGAAACATTTGAGTGGTGGTGATTCAGTTGTCTTAAAAGTACAACCGATTGCCAGTCCTTTAAGATGCTTTAGGTACCTAATTCCTGAGGTAGAGCCGCTCTTAACTCTTTCAGATCCCCTCACCATCTAAAGATCTAGGGTTTCAAATAGCTACTGTATCAAACAGAAGAGAGTAGCTGTATTACGTGTTTTTCTGAGGGTAGAAGAGGAGAGAGTAGCTAAGTTACAGCAGCACGAAGATTTAAGTTAGATGTGGAAAACTACATCTAGCATGAGACTTGATTGGCATCGAGACTTGATGAGCATTGATCGGCATGAGCTTCTTAAACTGGAGGTTCAAGTTCCACACCTCTCCTCAAAAGGAGTAATAAGGGAGGATTGAGGAATCTTCAGCTGTAGCACTTCTTTGTGGATGCTCGGTGGACCGGATGGGTTACTAGGATCCAGCGCAGGAAAGGTCAGCTTCTCCAGAAAAGTGATTCTCAATGCCAATTTCACCTCTTCAGAACACTTCATAAAAGGCAATCGCAAAACTGCATGCATTCGAATCTCCTCTCGCAAGTTTTGACTTCGTTCACAAGAAAGAATCGGGGCTCGGTTCAGAGATGGGGGAAAAAAAAATCTCGGGTCCGAAAGCACGCATGAGTATGTGTACACACAAAGCCAAAATCATATAAATATGTAGATCGTAGATTGTTCTTTTATGAATTCGCAGTTCTTTATAACCGGGAGTTAACTGGAGCTCATTGCAGAGCATATGTTTTCTTTACAATTTTTTCTAGCTATCACAATTACAACGAAGATGGAAAGTGACTTCTGTGAATCTTTGTCTGTCTTTTCTTTTTACATTAAATGTCAGCAAAATCAAAATATTGATTCAGTGGCATTAGAATGATTTCCATGGTAACCGGCTTCTATTTAAGTAGGGGATTATGACTTCCCTGTGGATAAACGTAAAAAAGAAGTGGACTTTGTGGCGAAACAGCTTTTCAGAGTGGGAAAAAATATGTGCTTAACGATGAGCACACACAAAAATTACATACCGAGAAAGTACAATTTAATTTTTTTAAACTTGTAATTCTATCACGCTGAGAATAAATATTGGTGACTGTATGTTAGGGTCTTCTACGATAGTAACACCTTTAAAAAAAATACGCAGTGGAGAAGAAATACTGGCCACAAGTATGTGATAAATATTTTAATTGCTTTTTTTTTTTTTTT